CCGGCCCCCCCCTGCTGCCCCTGTGTCCCCCCCGGGGTCCCAGGTACCCCCCCCCCCAAGCCCTGGGGTCCTGTACCCCCAGGAGCCCTGTATCCCCCTGGGAGCCCCAAGGTCCTGTTCCCCCACCCAGAAACCCCAAGCTCCCGTACCCCCGGGGGCTGCAGATCCCCTGCAAACCCCGGGGGGTCCCAACCCCCCTGGGATCCCATGCCCCCCCGACCAAGTCTCCCCCCATCTCCCAGGGGTCCTGCCTCACCCCATGAACCGCAGGGCCCTATAACCCCTGGGGTCACGTACCCACCAGGGTGCCCATGACCCCCCCATGCGCCGCAGGGACCTCGACCCCCTGGGGTCCCCGTACCCGTCCACCAAGCCCTGACGGCCGATGAGCTGCTGGGTGTCCTCCCGGGAGATGCGCCCGTGGAACCAGGGCTGGGTGCGGTGGATGGCTGCAGGGGAGACGGGCGTCAGGCTTGGGGGGAACCTCCCACCCAGGGCAGGGACGCCCCCTTGGCACAACCCGGCTCTGCCGGATGGGACCCCGCGGCTCGGCGCTGCTCACCGGCGCTGAGCGGGGAGCTCTGGCAGGCTGCCGGCAGGCTGTACCGGTGCGTCGTCTTCTTCTGGCCGCGCAAAGCAAGGAGCGGGTGTTAGCGTGGGCTCGGGGGGACCCCCCTCGCACCCCTGCGCCCCAACTCACCCTCCAGGCCTGCGCCTCCTCCAGGGCCACCGTCAGCACCTCGCTGGGGTTCTCGATCACCCGGCCTGTGCATCCCGAGAAATCCATGGCCACCAGCGCATTGTCCGAGACGCTTCGCTGCGGGGGATGGTGAGAGCGGGGCGGTGATGGGGGGGGACGATCCAGGGGGGCTGGCTCAGCCACGCCTGTGCTTGCTGGTAGTTGCGGTAGAGCTGCATGCCGTACTGGGGGGAACAACCCTGTGAGCTGGGGGGTCCCGTGGGGCCCCTGTCCCGCAGCGGGGTGGGAGAGCACCCGCCTGGTGTGGGGATGGGGACCTCCCCATCCTCCTGGCTTGGGGACTGGGACGTCTACATCTACCCCGCATGGGGATGGGGACACCCATCCTGCACCTCTTCTGGCACAGGGATGGGGACATCCCTCTGGCACCCCTCGACACAGGGATGTGAGCATCCTCTGGCATCCCCCCAGCATCCCCCCAGCACAGGGACCGGTAACACCGCGGCGGGGCCAGGGCCCACCTTGAAGAGGCGGAAAGCCGCCATCCAGCAGCTCCGGCTCTGCTCGTCCTCGCTGCAGAGCAGCTTCAGGCCCTTCACGCCGCTTCGCACTTTGTAGGGCTGCAGGGAGAGGCCAGAGCCGTCACAGGGCAGCCCTGGCTGGTTCTCAGGGAGCAGAGACCCCTTGGCAGGGGAAGGCACGCAGAAGGGATGGCCCCCTCCAGCCAGGCAGGGACATCCCCACCTTGATGCAGAAGCCGAACTCGGTGGGTGTCCCGTAGTGCTTCTTGCCCTGCGTCACGTAGTAGATGTTGGACTCGGTGAGGTCGGCGAAGTACTGGAGATGCCGGGGGTCCTGGGGAAGGGGGGGGAGCGTCAGGGTTGGCC